AGATGAAGATAAGATGAATGAAGTTCATAATGATTTTACATTGATTTTCACAACTATAGATATATTGGCTCATTTAACATTTAAAAAAAAAATTATGTAGGTCTATCATTAACTTATTTTATATTATAATTGATATAGATTTTCGTTCTAACTTAATGGATTATAATGGACACAAAGTATTGGCCGAGAACACGATATTTTTGTAGATATCATTTGCTCTGATACAATAAATCGTGTAAGAGGCAGAGGCGACAAAATAATTCTTAGTTGTGAGAAAGGAAAAAATTACAAGAACAAAGAAAAACCTATCGTTATTTGTTGCAAAAGGATCAAGTGCCCTTTTCAGCTGAGATTTGTATTATGTGATTTTGGTTGGTATTCACAACCCGGATCTATCTGAGGATTTACACGAACACTAGATAAGTTAGATGAGTTGTTCTCATATGAGAAGTTGATTTCCAAAGTTATGTTGATTGATCAAGAACTTTTCTTGATGAATGTCATTGAAGTTGTTTTCCTAACCTCAATCCACCACTTATGTACTTTTCATGATGTAAAAAATGTTGGATTTAAATGCAAGGTGTGTGTCAAAAGATGATAGACAAGACCGTGTGTTAAAACTATGGAATAAGATCATGTAATAAGGTGAATGATTATGAGCAACACTTGCAACATTTTGAGTTAGTATGTGTTGATATATATTTTTTCGTTGATTATGCTAACCAAAAATGATTGTCGCTCTAAAAAGAAAAATTGTTGTTACAGGACTAATCAAGTCATTCATTTAGAGAACACGACAACAAATAACTAAATATTTAACATGAGTTTACATTTATTATTTAAATAGAAGTTAACTTTTAGCATATTTCTGTAATAATATTTTATAGGATTGAGTATGCTCATTAGAGACTTAAAACACATGCTGAATACTAGTAAAGTAGACCTTTGTAGAAGTTGTGATGCTATAAATTACATGTTAGGTGTTTAGAAAAGTGACAAGTAGATGACTATTCTTGATATGAGTTATCCTATTACTTCTAGGTATAATATTATATCAATTGCCTTGTCCAGGAACTTGAACATCACCTTTTTCCACTTATTTTTTTAAATCGGGTGAAAACTCAATTTTTTATATATCGATATATATTACAAATTCGACATAAATGCAAAATATGTCGATTTTGTGTCAAATATTAACTATATCAGGTATAAATTAAAGAAAAACAAAAAATAAGACACTCACTAAAATTTTAAAAAATCTAAAAAATGTAATTAAGTTTGACATTTTTTTCAATTAAAGGATAATATGTTTTTTTCTTCTTTTGTGGAATCATATGCTTGCAGATATAATCAAGAAGCAATTATGGATAATGGTCAAGGACCAGATGCTTAGTCTTGATGATGATTTGGTTTTGATGATAACAATATTTGTAGTCAAGCAACTACTAAAGTTAGCTCAAGCGGTTAAACATGCATAAGGTGGTTGATCAAGCTTTTTTTTTATAATCAAGCTAAAATTTTATGGTTTATGATCATCAGTGATATCTTTACAACTCTTTAATGATGATGATTAACTTGAACAGATCTCGGATCTCTTCCAATAGAAAATTCAAGTAAAGTGCTTATATGATTGATACATCCAACAAAGGGACTTAAAACTTTAGAGTGTGAAACAGAGAAAGTGTGAAAGCTCGACTAATCGTGTTTGTCTGAGTGACCAGTCTATTGTAAAAGTACAAGGACATTTCTGAAAGTATTATGGCTAAATCACAAACATGCGCGCGCACACACACGCACGCGCGCACACAGTGATAGATCCAAAAAATTTAATTAGTGAAGACAAGATTTTGTTACTATAATTTTACATAAAAATTAATTTGTTTAACAATGATGATTTTATTATAATTATTGTTTTTGTCGTTAAGTTTTTTTTCTTCTATATCGATAAAAACGAATATAAATTGCAAAGTTTTATAAAACTATTTATAAATTTTTTTATTTGTTTGAATAAATATATAAAATGATGAGTAAAATAATTTAAATAAAAAACTTTAAAATGTTATTATGGTAATACTTATTATTACCTACATAAATAATAGTATTTAATATTTGCCGAAGAAAAGAATGGGAGATTGCAAAAATATAACTAATATTTAGTGGGTGCACTAACTAATCTTTGATGGTATCAATATAAAATTATTGAGCATTTACTAGACATACAATTAGATAAGTGGGGGCAGCTACCTCCAATTTAATACACTTATAACTTTCTAATTGATTAGATCATTGTTATAATCGATACGATAAAGAAAAATTGAGTATATACTCGATTGTTATGATAACATCTCTCTATCAAAACCTTTCAATTTGGGTAACAATAAATAATTATTGAAAACATCTAATTGATTAGGTCATTTATTTGGCCCATGAATTATTTCAAAAAATACACCATTTCTTGGCCTATAAATAGAGAGGCTCTCCACCATTTCAAATCATCTAAAAAACATGAAACTCATCACTATTCTTTTCTCTAACTCTCTAAATCATTTTTATTTTTTCAAATATTTAAGCCATAATGCTTTGAGAGTGTTCTTGAGTTTAAGTGGGGAATTTGTTATGAGTGATAACTTTATTGTAAATTTATTAAGAGTTCTTTTCTCTCTTGAGTAAATTATTTTTCCTTATGAAATGATTATTGTAGTTTGGAGCTAAACCAATGTAAAAACTCTTTTAGAGATTAGTATAAGCCTCTATTTGATTTGTGAACTCTGTAATTGAAGAAAAACTCTCTTTTAGGTTCGTGAAAAATAACTAGTGAAAAATCTTCACAATGATTCTTGATCTCATTCCGATTAAAAGCTTAGTTGGTTAGAGATTAGTCTAGTATAAAATCTCACTTAGTTTATGAGTTCAACTTGCGTAAAACCTCAGTAAGTTTGAGATCAATCCGGTAAAATCTCGGTTCGGTTTAGCCAACTCAAAACTCCATCTTGGCTGGAGATCAACTTGCGCAAAATCTATATTTGCCTTAGAGACTAACCGCTCAAAACTCTATTCTTTGTTTGGTGTGAAGACTAATCGCTTCATTCCATATTTCGTTGTTTGGTTGAAAATTAGGCTAAAATTGCATTTTCTTGTATAAGAGAGTTTATGGCTTAACCTTCTAAAAACTCTCAAACATTATTGAATACTGTCAAGATCAATTTTTGGGAGAGGAGTACATCACTTATTTAAGACCGAACCTCTATAATTCTATAGTATCACCTTTCTTCCCTTAACTCTTTTATTTTCCTCTTATTTTTTTTATCTTGATTTTCCACTACTTATTCAAACGTTTTTGATAAAATATTTTCAAACTCTAATTTAGAAAATAATTTTTATTTTAAACTATCATTTTTCAAATCTCCACAATTCATTTTCTTTTGCATATGGAATCACATGTGCAACATTTTCATCTAAAGTCTAAGGATATCAGGGGTAAATTTGAGATACCAGATAAATTTATAATAAATTTATGCTTTACTAACTTAAATTTCAAATTCTAAACAATATGAATCTTAATGTTTTTGTATTTTCAATACTCAAATACAAATTTAAAATTATTACATTAAAATTAAAAGAGATTGTGTCATCTCAAATATTACCGAATTTACTTATATTTTAGTATTAAAATGAAGAAAAAATTGGTAAAAAATTGGAGAAATGAGGACCTAATTAAGATGTCGAAGCGAGTTCTCTTTCAAAAAGAGGGAAAAGAGAGAGATTTTAAACTTATCTAATTCCTAACATCTATAATATAAATCTATAATATAAGAAAATTAGATGTTCTGAAAAAACACTTTTATGCCATTATCTCTTAATTTGCCACATCATCAATTTGGGGGCAATTTGTGTCCAAAATTTACTTTTTGGAACCAAACTATCACTGAACCAAATAGTTTTCTTTTTTCTTCCATTTTTGCCTATGATGTCCACTTTTTAAATTGATTAGTTCAAAACAAACTATACATTTCCAAATTCTACAACTATTTGCGAAATTTTCACCCAAATAACCAACATTATCCCCCTAATATCCAAACTACCCTACTTTCTCTCATATTTCCCAATCTACCCAACTTTCGTATTATTTTTTTTTTATTACAAGGGGGCGCCGTGGGGTATGGCTCCTCCCTTATAATTTATATGGGGGCGCCATCCAGGATGGAGGCACCCTATAAATTATAAAGGGGGCGCCATCCCCTTTGGCTCCTCCCTTAAATGACTTAAAGGGGGCACCATCCCCTATGGAGCTCCCTTTAAACGAATATAATTTTTCAAATATATTATAATTAATATAATTAAAATTTAATATTATGTTATTCCAATTTTTTTTTATAAATAGGTAGACTTGTTGTTAACATTGTTTCATCCAAATTTAGAAGAGTGAGTCATGTACCTTAGAAGATATGGGCATGTAATTTTTTCACCGACGAAGCCTCCGATAAGGATGTTGTTTTGGAACATCCAGAGTTTAGAAAAACTACGAAGAAATTTGAATCGGTGGCTAGAAGGAGACATTCCAAATGGTGAAAGGATTAGGAGTATTGAAAGACTTGTCTCGTACTTCTCTGTTGAAGACGGAAACATATGGCGGGACTGGGTGCGAATTAGAGATGACAACGAAGTTAGGTCTATGATGTTTGGAACTGATGATATTACTTTGATTGTTGTTATATCTTAGTTTATGTTGTAATAATCGTTGTATTTTTAATGGTAAGGCGGTAAACGGTATAACCAATCCTAGCGGTAGTGTCATAGGAGAACTCTTAGGGGTTGAACCAACCCCACGAGATATGAGGGGCCAAAAAATTTTAATGTCATGGCTCAAAACAATTTATAGAGACTTGCGATTAACTCGAGATTCTCCTGAAATATTAAAAATTAGAAAAACAAGAATTTATATTATGTTATTAGTAGGGTTATTTTTATGTCCGGATACAAGTGGAAACGCTGTTCACTCTATGTACTTACCTTTATTAGAAGATGTAAATAAAATAAAAACATATAGTTGGGGGTCCGCAACACTAGCGCACCTATATCGGTCTTTATGTAACAACTCAATAGCGAATTCGGGAAACTGGATCGGATGTGGTGTTCTTCTTCAAGCATGGGGTTGGTCAAGAATGACCAATCTAGCACCTATCCAACAAAATAATTTTGAATTCCCATTCGCTAAAAGGTAATTATTTTTCCCAATTCTCACTTATCTATCATAGTATTTCAATTAATTAATCATATTATTAATAAATGTTTTCTTTTCGATTTGTAGGTGGTCTTCGCTTGGAATGAATTATGACAACTGTCCACATTACAGTATCACGCAGTACAGAAATCTTATTGATCACTTGGGTCAAGATGATGTGCACTCACAAACCTAACTATTTATGTTATACTCTACTTGAATATTATTAGAAAATACTTAATATTATTTTTTTCCTCCTACAGTTCATTTGGCGGCCATATCTTGGTCTAGAAGCCTTTCATGAAGTTGAACGACAAGACTCTGCGGTGTGGAGTGCAAAGGTGCCGATTATCAACTTCACCACCGTGGAAATGCACAACAGTGATCGTGTGAAACTTCAATTTGGAATGCTTCAAGATATTCCATGTCCGCCAAAGTGCATCCCCGAAAAATATCACACTGGTAAAGTCTCTGACCAATGGGAATAAAATCCGTGGACCAAGTATGCGAAACATGAGTGTCGTGAATAGAGGCATCGCAACAACTATGTTTTGTCCGACACTGTGTTTCCATACGAGATGAAACAATCAATACAATACATGACTTGGTATAGGTCTGTATCAATTGGTTTCATTTCACATCCAAGGTATCTTGTTGACCCACGCCAACAAGATTCATCATCAAGGCCCCAACAACCAACCCAGCCTTATTTCCAACCGCCAACACAACCCCATTTCCAACTGTCAACCCAACCTCATTGCCAACCATCAACCCAATACCATTTCCAACCGCCAACCCAACCTCATTGCCAACCATCAACCCAATACCATTTCCAACCTCCAACCCAACCCCATTTCCAACCATCAACCCAACCCCATTTCCAATCACCATCCCAACCCCATTTCCAACTGCCAACCCAACCTCATTGCCAACCATCAACCCAATACCATTTCCAACCGCCAACCCAACCTCATTGCCAACCATCAACCCAACCCCATTTCCAACCATCAACCCAACCCCATTTCCAATCACCATCCCAACCCCATTTCCAACCGCCAACCCAACCCTATTTTCAACCCCCACTCACACAATCACAACAATATGAACATACCCCTAACCAATTCACTCCATTCACATAAACTCATTCACAATCCACACAATACCACACATACTCCATGGATACTACAAACCAAATAAACACCCAGTTTTAAATACTCAATCAACCCATACCCACCCAATCATTTACACCCATCCCACCCTACGATCAGGCAGACTATCGTCCTGACATTGCCTCATCCAGCCAACCACCCCAAAATAATTATGAAGGCATGGGCAACCCTTTTGATTTGGATGACTTTACGGATATGGACACGTCTTCATGGGCTGAAGTGATGCAATTGCTTGAAGACGACACAATGGACCCAACTCCACAACAAAGACCACAAAGAAACGTACGTGATCGGGGATGCGGTACGGGCGGACATTTAAACCGACCACGGCATAGAAACTAGTGTACAATATCTTTCATATGTACCCATTTGTGATTAAATAATTATTGTAATTATTATTTAATATTAAATTTATTAAATACAATTTGATTTTTATTTATTATTTGGAATTTATTAATGAAATTATTAATTATTATTTATTTATTATTTGTAAAATATATAAAAATTATTTAGAAACTATTATTATATAATTATTATTTTTTAAATATTTTTAAACTAATTATACATTTAAAATTATTTTAAAACTTCGGATTTAAGGGAGGAGTCAAAGGGGATGGCGCCCCCTTTATAATTTATAGGGTGCCTCCATCCTGGATGGCGCCCCCATATAAATTATAAGGGAGGAGCCATACCCCACGGCGCCCCCTTGTAATAATAAAAAAAAACGAAAGTTGGGTAGATTGGAAAATATGAGAAAAAGTAGGGTAGTTTGAATATTAGGGGGGTAATGTTGGTTATTTGGGTGAAAATTTCACTATTTGCAATGTCAGATCAAATTCGAAAAACATTTCAAATTCCCTCTAAAAGATGCAAGTCTTCTGATTTCTTCTCTCTCTTCCTCTTCTGTTGCAAAAAATTTTTTCTCTCTCTCACGCTCTCTCTTTCTCTCTCTTTCTCTCACGCTTTCTTTTCTCTTCCATTACTTCTCTCTTCATGTGCGTCTTTCTTCTCTCTTCCGATGCCTTTCTCTTCCTTTTCTTCTTTTTCTCTATTCCTTTTCTTCAACAAAAACAACAGAGTTGTGCGATGATTTAAAAAAATCTACAAATCAAAGTTTTTCAAGGTTTGCGCTCTTTATCCTTCTTTGCTTACATATATAAAACTCTCCTTAAAGATGATACGGAGGCTAGAGATTTAAGGGTTTGTTTTCTTCTTATTCTGATTTTAAGATTTTAGTGTGAGAAAAATGAAATAAAAAAACGAGTTAGGTTTTCTGTTATGCATCTTCTTTCTTGTTACTATGAACTTTTTGTATCGTGTGTTGTATTTTGTTACATCTGTTACACATTCACGTTTTCTATTGCTTATGAATAAAATGGTTTGTACTTCAATAATTTTTCAGTTTCAGTTGTTTATGGTTTACACATTAGTCTTTTAATCTCTTTAATCAATTTGTGTTGATTATTCACTTATAGGGTAATTTGTGTGTTTATTATGTCCCTGTGGTAGTTTTTTTACCTAAGGTTATTGGTGTTGCATGAATAGGAAGGAAGAATAAATATTTACATGTCTATTACTATTACGACAATGATTCGTGTTGTCGAAAAGAGATGCACTACCTATTACTGTTACGAGATCGATTCGTTTGTTGCATGTTTTGTTTGTAGTTTTTTGCTGATTTGATTTCAACAATGTTTGATACTTTTACTATAGAATACTATATTTTTCATGTTTTACAAACTATAAGGGTGGATAAATTTGAGTGGTTTGACCAAATCTTCTTATGTATGGGGAGTGATAGGATTGTAAGTGAATGCATTAGATTTGTGATGTAACCCTTGATTGAAAAATTAAGGTTTATTTTTCAAATATGTTTTGGACATCAAGTTTTAGAGAAGTTCAATTTTTTCCCAATGATTTTATGATTTGAGATAAACAATGCTAATGTATTTGTGCTGCACTGGATTGTTGTGTTAGACATGGAGGTTATTCCTATTCTGGACGAGATGATGCATATGCATTTGGAAATATTGATCCATCTAACATGTAAGTTGATTTTATGTCTGCTCATCTGTATTCCTCTGTTCTCTACTATCTTGTGGATTGTTGTTGTTTGTTATTGATGGTGCTATTATTTTCTTTCAATTTTGTGATTTCAACAAACGTGTTTTCCTAATTTTTTTGCTTCTCTTTGTAGGTTATAAATATCATACCACTTAAGGGTGGTAATCCTTCGTTGCAATTGCGGAGTTACAATTCATATTGTTGTTGTTGCAAAATAAACATTGAAAAGTATAACCTGTAATGCTTAAAGAGACAGAACTTACTGCACCGAGTTTGGTTGATGTCATTTTCTATGCTTTTCATGATAAACTATAAAACTGACTTGTCTGACCTGCTTAAACTTACTGAAACGTGTTTTATTTTAAGATAAGTTTGAATATATATACTGACATTTTTCAAGTCCTTTATTTGTGTTTTTGATCGTGAAGTTGTTTGGCGGAAGCTCTCTCGGTGATGTCGGCGATCGAGTGTTACGTAAACTCACCGATAAACTCTATGAGAAAAGCAAAAATGATGCTGGTTTTGTTTGCTTCTATCTTTCATCATGATTTTTTTTATCCGTGTTTGATGATTATTGCAATTTGGTGAAGATTGTTGTGGAAATAGGTTATTTTGTTCTCACTCTGGAATATGTGAGAAATTGAACATATTAGTCTTGTCTTCTTGAATTGTATTTTAAGATATTTGGTTTTTCTATTAATGTTTAGTATTGTCTTTTTTATTTCCTTTAAAATAAAGTTTATGTACATTTTGCAGGCTATTTAATAATGGAGATTTCCTATCTGTTGATATAAGGTTCTAATCTACCATGGATCCATTGTTATTGCTTCATTAAGGCAACTGAAATTTCTGAATTTATAATAACTATGAGTTTATTTTGCTGGTGTCTCATTTTTTTCCCTTCTGTTATGACTAGAATATAGCATTTTACAAACTTATGGTATTCGTTTATCAAAGGTGGCAAAATCTATTTAAATACTAATCAATTATGTCTACTTAGTTTTTTTAGACAGTTAATTGAACTTTATATTGCAGCTGGCAGAATTTGATTTAAATGCTTATATACTAGATGCAAGGTTTCATAGAATTGATTTAAACATATTTAAGCGGGTAAACACCCTATCTTGGAGTAATGCATAGAAATGCAATCACCTTAAACGCACCCAAAATTTTCAAACTTTGGCTAAAGTATTAATCATTTCCTCTGTCCTTTTCTGATATAGAAGATGTCAATTTAATAGAGAGACAATGTAATTAGATTTTACATCATTGTAATATTTAAGATTAAATAAAATAAATTAAATACATATTCTTTTCCCTCAAACTTCTTCCATTTTAGAGAGGGTGCTAAAATCGACTTAAGGGGGATTTTGATTTCTCTTATCTCTTTAAATAACTAACCTAAACAATTTAGTTTTAAAATAATCTCTCTTGCCCTCTCTCCTCCAATTAGAAGTGTTTAAATATAAAGCAATTGAAATTAAACCGTAAGTTGTTTTTTAAAATTGATTCCAAATTTTTGCATCAAGAATTTAGGCCAACTTCAATTATTTATTGTGATTGAAGCATAACATTCTTCTTAGGGTATTTTCACATGTCAAAGGAAATATTCCTTAAGTTACTTGATGATTATGAAATGGAAAGTTATAAACCTGCAAGTACTTTATAGGTGCTTACACGTGCATCATAAAAAGACTACTTTACCTCACTATCATTAGGTTAAATATTTTACTCAGACAAAGAGGAATCATGAGCCTAAGCAATCAGGACAATAGAGTTCACACCAAACCAGACCAGCCATATCATAAGAAACTAAATGGCTCAAGCACAAAAGCGCTTCTGAATCCACTCAAAAACATTGCATGAATACATAATTCTTTTATTATCTAAAAACCCTTTTCAAGAGGATGATTTAATTTTATCCACCAACTCCTCCACATTCACCTTTTTTCTAGAGAATACAACATCATTACCAAATTTCTAAATGAACCATACAACCAAATGTCAGACCAACAAAAGCCTAAACCTAACAAAATATTCAAATTCCCCAAAAACCTCAAATAAAGTGATCAAGTTCAAAGGCAACACCAAATGCTAACTTTACCATCTAAAAATAATATACCTTTAGAGGCCAATTTATAAAAGACAAACAAATGACTGGCAGACTTGCCTTAGAACCCACATGTGTGCATAAAGTAACACTTGGTTAGGCAAATCATTTCTCCTAAAATAGATTTAAGCGGGTATACACCATA